TACCAAACAGCTGTCAATGAAAGGTCTGTGTGTGTGTGTGTGTGTGTTCATTATTCATTGACTGATTACTGTCAGGGCCGGGCTGCACATGGTGCCTCCGCTCAACAGCTTTCCAGCACATTGAGTCCAGGAGACACAAACAAATACAAATAAAAAAAACTGCAGACATTCTGTTTTTGGAAACAGAAGAAAACAGCTTATTTTTTATGATTTGGATTCTTTGCTCCCCTCCCAACAGAAGCGCTCTTTCTTACTATTCAACACTTCGTCACCAGCTCTGCTGCTCCATGTGGATGCGTTTAATTTGTGTGTCCACCACGAAAAAGGATCCTACCGGACTTTCCATTGGTGTTGTTTTCATCCGAAACATCACGACAATTCGTCCATGTACACGAAAGCCAGTAGATTGAAATGTTGTGACTATTTGGTTAAAATCACCACAGAGCTCCGGGTTCAGGGACGTCACAACCCAGAGGAATTATGGGTATCGAAGTAGAGAAGCCAGTGCTCTTCCTGTTCACAGCTGACCGGACTCATTGTGTTCCTTCAACACTTTTCATGAGATCGCTCAGTCGGCGCTGGCTTTAAATATGTTTAATTTAGCAGTCGGGCTGCTGTCTTGGCTGTGAACCGGTCTGCGTGTACTTTAATTATCTAAAAGGTCTCCTCCTGCTGTTAGTAGCTCTTACATAATCAATACACAGTCTCCAGGTGTGTGTTAGGGCTGCAGCTAATGATTGTTGTATTGATTCATCAGATTATATACAGGAAATAGTGAAAGTTGGATATAAAACAGAGGAAATATGCACATGGATTGCAGCCTTTAAACGCCCCTTTTTGGACTGTTTTTCCGTCAAAACTACAAAATTATGACATTTAATAAGAACAATTATTAACAGCGGATAAAAGTAATAACTGCAGCTCTGTTTTATACGTTTATGAGGGATATTAAAGAACAATAAAGTCACTACTCTCTGGTAAGTCCTCACTGTGGCTCCCAACAGGAACACTGAGTCAGTAACTTTAAAGTCAATATGGTTTCTACAACATTACATGAGCTCGAGGTCCCTTTAGTCGCTGTTCTGGAGCTTTCTATCAAATCACAAGATCCGTCACACAGACACGGACGAGAACTAGAGAAGTGGATCTTGGTGTTTGGTCATTAAATGTGATATAAATTAAATAAAAGTATAAATTTACTACACACACACACACACACACACACACACACCAACCAACAACAACAGGGGTTTCAATTACACAATTAAAGCGTGACGAGCCAATTGAGTCCCTTTCACACACACACACACACACACACACACACCATATGCTGTCCCAGCATGACGCATTCACCATTTGCTTTAATTGCCTCCAACTCCACATTGAAGGCGGTTAATGAGAAGCCAATTAAAGAAAAAGACAAAAAACAGACTTCACCAAAGTTTTTAGTCTGTTGTATTTTGCAAAACTGGGAAAAATTACTTCTTAAAATTAAGTACTTCAACGTATTATTAAGACTCTTTGTGCAATAATGCCTAAACTGTACAATAACTTGTGCAGCTCCATTAATACATAATTTATACTTTTACTTGTGTTATATATTATGTACATAATTTACATTCTTATTCTACATAATCCTTTTTTTCTCCCCGGGGATCAATTAAGTATTCTGATTCTGGAAAAACTCCAATTAATATTAAGCTCGTATCACATTTTCTTTTATTTAATTGTGAAATGACGAAAGAGTCACAACGAATGCAAAATTGCAAACATGCTTCAAATAAACCAGAACTGGTTGCATTTAGAGAAACAAACGTAAAAGCAATCATGTCGTTCATTTCTACTGTTAAAGATTAAACCCGGTGGGTATAAAGAGACTTTAAGATATTTAAAAGCTCAACACCAAAGAGGAAATTTAGATTTCACACGAGCTCCTGCAGAGAAAACCCGTTGAGCTCGAGGCAGAAACAAACAGCCGCTTGACCTCATTTAAATGTTATGTAAACACTTTAGGAGGGAGACTCATTCACACACACCGACACGTCCTGTCAGAGCAACAGAAGCCCAGCAGAGGGAATAAACCAACCTGCGAGGAGGATAAAAACAAGCCCGGTGCAGCCCGGAGGAGTCCAGTAACAGTCCGGAGAGTCCACAGAGATTTGTTGTGGAGATTTAAAAAGTGAAAGTGTTCTTCAGAGGCTGAACTGCAGAGACTCTGGAGGGTTAGTCAGCTCCTCAATGAGCTCCTTACTGAATGAGGAGCGCTCAGTGCCTCGCGCTCTCCTCACTGACCGGCCCGGTGTGTGTGTGTGTGTGTGTGGGAAATCCCCAAAACCAGGAAATGGATTCAAAGCGGATCCGGATGGACAGATCTTATTGGTTGAGACAAACACAAGGGAGCGGGGCCAAATAATGATCGACTCAGATTATGAATAAAGCAAATTATCATTCAAATATAAGCATTTTTATGCGTTTTATGCTGCTCTATAGGTCACTTTAATAAAAAGAAAATATATAAAAATGCACTGCTCTTGCTCTTATAACTTTATATTTTTGTCGTTTGTACACATTGTGTCCTTATATTATTTATTACACAATTGTTTTAAATCATCTTGTCCGTCTCTTCTTCCGAATGTAAAACACGAGTTTCAAAAAGTGCTACATAAATGAAGGCAAGGCAAGTTATAAATATATAATATAATATTATTATTACATATAATTCAAAGTGCTTAAATTAAACGTCAACAGCGAAAGAGACACGCTACAAATGTAAAAAAACAGTGATTAAAGAGCCAAGAGAGTAGAACAATTACAAAATATAAAATAGAATAAGACAGGTATAGAATAAAATAAATTAATAAAAACTTAATTTAATACAAGGCAGTGGCAGTGGCTTTCTCAGATCATGTCAAAGAGTATTTGTTTTAATTTAATTTAAGTGATGGTTTATTTGTGAGTACATTTTATTAATACAGCCCAATATCACACATTTTCCTCAAGGAATAAATAACATTAGCTTTTTTGTATTTGGTGTATTCGTGTTGTACACGCCCATCGGCTGTGATCATACCACAAACTGCACCCTCCGCAGTAGAAGTACACGAGGTGCAGCTCGGAATGAGCGAATGAATACTGATTCTTTAGAGCTTGTTGACGCTGACAAGACTTCGCCGTGTGAGGACTTGTCCACAGAAAACAATGGCCGTGGGTGTTATTTAACTCACAACTTGTTGGATAAAGTTGGGAGTTGCTTTTTTTCCCACGAAGCTTATGAACAAGCTGTGCTTGTTAAGCGTCGACGCAGTGACGAGTCACAACAGGCGCAAGTCGCCTTACACAATTTAATCTGCTTCCTGTGATTCTGACGGATAAAAACCAGCCATTAAATGTTGAATTTTTCTTGTTTTTGAGGAGGCAGACAGGAAACAAGCGGAAAGAGAGAGGGAGATGTAAAATAGAAATAAAACAGGAGTAGAACGGACATTCCTATATCAAATCAACCTAGAGTTGTAGCGCGCTAACTTACGTACAAACTAAACCAACAGTCGCAGCGCCATTGAACAGCTTAATGCTTCATCCACACACTCTTATCACAGCGTAGGAAAGAACGTCGCTATCGTCAACTTTGTTTGGCTCATTTTCTGTAACCGATGTAGCATTAAAGCATGGTGGAATTAGCAAGTTAGCTAGGTAGCTAGCTTGCATCCGCTCTCTTCCCAGCGAGCGCCGCAACGACGCTTTACGGGCCAACTGACGTGTGTTGTCACCAAAACAACTAACGGAAAAACACTTCTACTTTTATTCTATTTCTATAAAATGCTACATATTGAGTAAAGAAATCATTCTAAAAACGTATCACTGAGCATTCGTAAACGCAACATAATCCGGGGTTTTGCAGAATTTAACTTGTCGTGATGAGTCTGTGTGTGTAGAAGGTCTTTCAAGAAATGTCCCCGTAAACCACGACAGCGGGACAGCAAACCAACACACACTATACCAGGACCCTGAAACTGAAGCAGCTAAATGGAACCCAGCCATCACTCTTTCAGGTTATTTGTGTGCTTTTTTCTGAGACGTGTCAACATGTCTTCTGTGGAAGAAACAAAACAGATAGGGTCTTTCAAGCTCCGGGTTCGTGAGGTGAATCCAGCCTCCAGAGTTTATACGCCGCCGCTCTGCAGGGCAGATGTTGCTCAGTCTGAAGTGAAAACACCATCAGGAATCAAATGGACCACTTCTGTCTTTGTCTCTCACCCAGAGAGAGAGAGAGAGAGAGAGAGAGAGAGAGAGAGAGGCTGGTGGTCTGTGAATGATTTGCATAACTGCATGCTCTTGTTGTGCAGACGTCCTCGTGTGATTAGAGACACTGATGAATATGTACCGAGCGATTTATCACGTCATGTGGCGGTTGGAGCAGAAGAAAAGATCTTAGTAATGTTTGTGTTCTGCTCCGTGTCTCATTAATTCATTAATTAACCACCTTTTAAATACAAAAAAGACATCAGTCAAAGCTCAGACTACCATTAACGTCACTTTGCTTAAATCACAGCGCAGTCACGGCCACTTAAAACCCTTAAAATGTATTTATAGCTTGCTTTATTTTATTGCACTTTTATTTGGTCACACAATTTGGTTTGGCTGGGTCATAAAACCATGTGTACATAACTAAAATATAAAGGAAGAGATGTTATGCATAAAAAAAATGAAACAAGTCACAAGATAAACGCGTTTCATTTGTGTGCTTTTTGCAACTTTTCCTGCAACTTGATTTCCTCTTAATTCATTATTGCTGCAACAAAATCAATTTCCTCTTATTTTTAATGAATCTGTAACACCAGACCGCCCTGTTGCTGTGTTATTGGAGGCAAAAGCAACACGTTAAACTACTTGGTGCTGACTATCAGGTATCGGAGGTGATCACAGACACACAGGATGCAGATTCAATGTTTAACAGTTAATGTTTTAAACTTCTCCTATTTTATTCATAAGGGACAAACAACAGGCTGCTTTGGGGGGAAATCACCAAAAGTGTCGTTGGGGAACCTCGACCAATTCACCCCCCCAAAAAAACAAAGCCATGCATCATTCATGTCTGCAGAGGGACGACGCCATTACGCGCCAACAACATGCAGCCGCCGTGGTCCAAGTGCCACGCGCTCGGCCTCTCTTCCGTTAAGCAGATAAAAGGTGGCATCTGTCTTTATTGTGCGAGTAAATCCCCTCCGCCATTGACCGCAGACACTTCACATGTTGATGAGGAGGAGGAGGAGGAGGAGCAGCCCCACTTTGTTCGACCCTTCTGGGGTGGAGACGTTATGCAAATCAAACTGAACCGTTTGTGATTTCCGTCATAGGACAATTAATTACAGCATGTTGTTTTAATGATGAAAAGTGATTAAACCTTTAATAAAAACAGCATGGACCTCCCCAGATTTCTCCCAAAGTGCGTGTGTTCTGCTTTGTTTTGACAGAATTCCCCAAATTTAAACAGACTCATGCAAATGTTTAGCGCAACTGGCAGAACTCCCTTTACCCAACAGGACGGGCGAGGCTTTGGTTTATCTGAATCAGAGAGAGTCGGATGACAAACTATTCAAAGCACTGGTGGTGAAACAATAAATAAAGGGCCCCGCCGCTGCTGATTTGCATAAAAGTCGTTGGAAAAAGTTTGTTTTTGGCCTCGGAGCAGTGAAGGTGTGTCCAACACAACAACCAGAACATGGAGAACCTGTATGTCACAATGGAACCAGTTGTTTTAGTCGCAGTTATGACGCTTCTTTGACCTGGAGGACATTTCCCAAGTGTGATAAAGAGGTTTAATGAAACTGATGAGAGAATAGAATTTAGAAAAAGACGTTTGATTGAGCAAGAATAAGCTTTCCGTTTTCATATTAGGGAAAAGAATGAATCTGCGTAAGTCTGGAGGACAAAGGTTTGCGCCAACTCCTTTACAGAGTACGTCTGCATCGCCCGGCTTGTTTAGGTGGGATTCAAAAAAAAATATATATATATATATATATGTGTCATAATCTTGTCTGTAGGCAATTTAAAACTGGGCTGCAAGTAGACAAACGTTATGTAACGAACCAGGACCAGTTGTTCCCAAAAGAAAGTCCTCCAATGATGAACTTTTCTACACTTGTCATTTCTCAGCAATATGCGACATGTATGCTGCATTAAACTACGTAAATCACTTGTTTTTTCACACTTGCTGTAAACTCGTAATAAAGTGGTTCGTTCAATTTGCGCTCGTCAGCGTTTTTCAAGGTGTTCCAGGTGTTCCACACAAACAAACATGGCTGACCGTGACAAACGGATGTTCCTTTGACTAGTGTTCTTGGTTAAGTCTACATATCCAGCTGTCAACAACCAGGAGACCCATTTTCCTTATAAATAATTATCTGAATGGGTCACGATGGATCTTTTTTTTTTTTCAGTGAAGAGACAATCCAGGAATTCCAGCGGTGCTCCGAATCCTCTAGAGTTCCCACAAGTTTTTCCAATTTGATTCTGCGGAGCAACGAAAAACTACATAAACACACACAAAGTCTCTCGTGTTTACAGCCCTTCTTCACGGTTACCGTGTAACCCCCCCCACCTCACCCTCCTCACCCTCCTCCTCCTCCCAGTTTATGAGGTAGAATTTCAATCGTCTCTCCTTTTCCAAACTCGTAAACGGTGTAATGGGTTTCATTTGCTCCGGCTACGTTGGGCTCAAACCGCCGAGGTGACCGCAGCAGTGTTCATAAAGATCACAGGGAATCCTCTCTCTCACACACACACACACACACATACACACACACACGCGCACACGCACTTCTGTTCTGCACATGCCAGCTCCGGCTGGTGACTCCTACATTTGGTGTGAATTTCCAGGCCATTAATTTAGGAGGAACATCACTTCTAAAGGAAACTGGCCCGACATTTGTGGTTCCTCTCAAAAACGCTCTCCATTAAAAAGCCTCTTTTAACCACCACACACTTCATAAATCACCCCTTAAAGACGCAGCAGACACACATGACAACATGCTCTCCTGACTTTTATTTTCAACAAACGCTCGCGGTATGTACATCAAAACATGCCAACAGTTGAAAAAAAAAAAAAAGCATTAATATACGTACTCGAACAAATTAACGTTATGCTAAAACATTCCGACACAAGTTTCATCTGAAGTGGATTTAAAATGTTTTGGACAAATGATGAAATGTGGAAATCATGGTCACATACATGTATTGACAGTTATGTTGTTAAAAGGCTTTCCAATCTTTTGGAAAATCTGCAAGAAAAACAAAAAAAATAAAGAAATATTGAATTTTCAGATAAAATTAATTATAGATTGCAATTCCTGAAAATGTTTTTTAGTTGCCACAATTAAAGTTAAGTGGCTAAATATATTGACTCAAGGTCCACTTTGTCTTTTCCAAGTATGGAGCATGAATTTTAAAACTTCAACATGCGGTTGAAAGCCCATACAAAAGCTAAACGGGGTTTTTTGTTGT